TCTCCATTTATTCAAAGAACTCTCCTCTCTTCTCTCCACACAGGGGAGGAAAAACAAAACAAAACACTAAAGTCAAAACACACAATTTAAAACTCTCTTGTTTATACTATTACAAAAAAGTGACTTACGATGGTGCAGATTCACAAACCTCCAACAACTATTTCAAACCTCAATCTGCAGCATGTAGGATGGGGTCATCTGTAGGTGTTGAAGAGCTCAGTCCCTCACTGGTCCAGACTGCCGGCTCCAGACCATTCAAAGAGTTCCACCTGGTTCACCACCTATAAGACAAGACACACATACAAAGCCACGCCAGGTACGGAAAACAAGGGCACACTCAAACTGCAAAATAAATAAATAACACAAAGGTGCCAGTCAGTGTATAAGACACTAGTCTGGTCTAAAATGTAATACAGAAACAACATACAGACACATCGTGACAAGTCTAGAGGAGACAACTTTTTATGCAAGAAGCTATATAAAAATAAATGTATGTCTACCTTAGTGGGACTTCTGACACTGAGAYGAGGKRAGGGTCTCATAGGRYGYCAGTATGAGGTGGTTGAGGTGTAAGCAGGTCTCCAGATGATCACCAGTCTTTGTGGATCTGTTCTTGGACTTGATGATTTTCATGTGAGAGAAAGCAGACTCCATAACTCTCCATCCATGTGACTTGTTGCTCTGGATTTGACCCCAATGTCATTTTGCGGAGTCAAAACTCATTTTCAACACCAGAGCAGTCCAGACTGAAACACGGACACAAATTTGGACCATCCTGGTGGACAACTGCACATCTTTATAGCAGCCACAATCTCACTTTTATTTTTAAAATCATGGAAAAGCAAGTCTGCAGCATCAAACGCTTCTTTCATAACTTCGTCTTCGCTGAAAGACGTGTGTTGAGGCAGGTACGGGGCTGAATTAGCATAGCAGCCTTACCTTAGGAGGGGAAATCCGCCTCGTAGCGTCTGTGCATTATTTTGAAAGAAATGCTATTCCACGTTATCCTTTTTGGACAAGCCAAGGCAGCGCTCGAATTACATATGAGTCCTCTTCCCACTCCAGGTGAAAATAATATGTTTTTATTTGCTTGTTAGCTGTCTTTCGTTCATCTTTTTTTTCCGCCTCGCTGCCATGTTTTAACACATGACCCTAATCTCGCAAGACCATGTTCGGAGTGCTGTTTCACAGCACCCAAAACTAGCGAGACTGGAGCGCACAAGAATGCAATGTTAAACAAATGTTGACAAGGGTGCGTTCTAGAATGCAATGTTAAACAAACATTGCAAAGAGTGCGTTGAAGACTGCAATGTTAAACAAATGTTGCGAAGAGTGCATTTAAGGCTGCAATGTTAAACAATGTTGCGTTCTACAAGCTCCGTGATCCATTGCTCCGTGAGCTACTGCTAACCAGCTAAAGCTCTACTGGTAGATCCCGATCTACTGGTTGGCCTGGCCTGCTTTAAATGTTCAACCAAATCATTTCTCCACATCAGATGAAGTCTAAACTCTGGAGTTTTTCTTTAGAAATATTCAAACAGCTGAACATTTAAACTGAGGTGAYCCYTTAGAGAAGAAATGAGACGTTTTTATACAGTGTGTGATCAAAACAATGCATGCAGGTTTCCATAACTTGTTCCTCTGACATTTTTCTTGTTCTTATATCGAATTATAAAACAGGTTAAATGATTGATAAGAGCTGATGTGAAATCAGGTTCAGAGTGTGAGCTGTGAGCCCCCAATCAGAGGAGGAAGTCGTGTCTAAACAGCAACATGATTTATTTCTGTGAGATGCAAATGCAGAACGGTCACATGCTGCTTTTTTAATCAAAACATGAATCAGTGTGTGTGTGTGTGTGTGTGTGTGTGTGTGTGTGTGTGTGTGTGTGTGTGTGTGTGTGTGTGTGTGATGGCTGATTAACAGGAAAATTCATATCTGAGGGAGGGGTGTGTGTGTGAGAGAGGAGGGGACAGAGCTGAAGTGTGTTACAGAAGTCAGTGTCTCTCTGCAGCTCACAGGACTGTTTGGACCCATCAGGACGGAGTGTGTGTGAGTGTGTGTGCGAGTGTGTGTGTGAGTGTGTGTGTGTCCTCAGAGCTGGTACCTGCTCTGCTCTGTGAGTATGGAACATGTGTTTCAGCTTCACGCCTCCACTATCTGCCTTCTGCTTGCACTTCTCTCACTTACTGCAGCTGCATCAAACAAACTCTGTTCCCACACACACACACACACACACACACACACACACACACACACACTGAACCTGTAAGATTTCTGCTGAAATCTCACCTGCTGCTTCATCTCAGAGCGTAGGTCAGTGTCTGTAAAACCGACTGAGTCGCCTTCGTTTATTTCAGTTCTAGAGATATTTTGCTAACAGACAGAGCAGTGGGGCTGATGATTTCATGGTGCTCATCTTTCCAAGCAGCTCTGTTCTTGGATTTTGTTCGGGCGAACTGAGTGTTACCTGGGGGAGGAGGGGGTCCTCCACTGATGTAAACCAATCAGGCTGAAGTCAGCCTACCTGTAAAGTGATACCTGTGCTGCCAACCTGCAGGCTGTTCAACATGCGTCTCATTAACAGGATCACTTTTCAAGCAGGCAAACAATCAGGTCATTTATCCATCAGAGCTCTGAGCAGAAAATGATCCAAACTATTTTATTACAAATTAATTTTATCTGAACTTTAATTATTAAACCAGAAATGTGTTTTACTCGTTGTAATAATATCAAACCCACTAAAAGGTTCCCATCTGTTTGAACTGTTCAGGTACAGTTTGATCTTTTAGTAGCTAAATATTANCACACACACACACACACACACACACACACACACACACACACACACACACACAAATCGATGCAGCAGTTTGCTCTGAACCTGTAAGATTTCTGCTGAAATCTCACCTGCTGCTTCATCTCAGAGCGTAGGTCAGTGTCTGTAAAACCGACTGAGTCGCCTTCATTTATTTCAGTTCATTAGGAGATATTTTGCTAACAGACAGAGCAGTGGGGCTGATGATTTCATGGTTCTCATCTTTCCATGCAGCTCTGTTCTTGGATTTTGTTCGGGCGAACTGAGTGTTACCTGGGAGAGGAGGGGGTCGTCCACTGATGTAAACCAATCAGGCTGAAGTCAGCCTACCTGTAAAGTGATACCTGTGCTGCCAACCTGCAGGCTGTTCAACATGCGTCTCATTAACAGGATCACTTTTCAAGCAGGCAAACAATCAGGTCATTTATCCATCAGAGCTCTGAGCAGAAAATGATCCAAACTATTTTATTACAAATTAATTTTATCTGAACTTTAATTATTAAACCAGAAATGTGTTTTACTCGTTGTAATAATATCAAACCCACTAAAAGGTTCRCATCTGTTTGAACTGTTCAGGTACAGTTTGATCTTTTAGTAGCTAAATATTACTTTTTAAATTAGATTTCTTCAGTTCCTTCTTCTCAAAAATCTGCTTCAGCAAACTTTATTTAACTGGTCAATTTTACAGTATTTCTTTATATTCTGTTCTGTTTAATTGAATCTGAACCTTTCAGTGAGGAATCAGTTACATTTCCTGCTACAACACTTTTAAAGTAGGTTTAAAGCGCCACAGCAGGTTCTGTCTGCTCCTCTGTGCRGTGTCTGACTGGACCCGCGGGGGTTACCTAATCTTTAGTTTTTTTGGCCACCTGCCCGGCGACACCTGGTAAACGAACCGGCCTCTTTGCGCATGCGTAATGGCCCGCCAAAAATCCCAACCCCGWCTCTCCTGACAAGCAGTGGTGCTCCATTCTGTCCAGAGAGCAGGTCAGAGGAGGGGGTGTCAGCATGCCGAGGTCCTTCCTGGTGAAGAGTAAACGGGCCCACAGCTACCACCAGCCCCGCTGCCTGGACGATGACTGCAGCAGGCTGGACGCTATTCTGGCTCGCGTGTGCGCAGGTGGGTTCATTCCGTGCGTAATTACGCACGGAAGGCCGAACGAGCTCGAGGTGTTGTACAGGGAGATGATCAAAACAAAACCAAACATTTATGTTCTCCGTGCAGCGACCAGGTCTCAGGAGGAGGTCGTGTCCGGGTTGGAGCTGCAGGAGGATGGGAGCGGCGGGGCTGAGCGCGGGTCCCCGGGGTCGCTGTCCTCCAGCTCCCCGCTGAGCTGCAGGGGCAGCGGGTGCGACCGGTCCTCGGACTGTGACTTCTGGAGACCACCGTCTCCATCCTCCTCACCAGGTGGGCACAAAGGTCCAGACAAAAACTCAGGAGAGTTTGAGGACATTTTTTTGGTGTTTATCGTTTAAAAAAGTTGAATATTTTCTTCTTTGATGAGTCTCAGATGGTCTGTTGGAGGAGAAACCAAACGTTTCATTAAAGTAGAAAGGCCTCCTGAACTTGTTTTTATTTTTCTACCTGGATCACTGAGATGTTTCAGGACTTTTCATTATGAACAAAAATTCAGAGGAAATAATCTGGAAATGTAAGTTTTATTTTAGACATGAAAATGTAAAACTCTACTGAAAAACAAAATCTGATTTTAATCTGTTTTCTAAATAAATTAGATATTTTAAAAAAGGTTTTTTGTGTCATTTAAAACAGGGGTTCTCAAACCTTTTGGGTCTGGGGACCCCTTACCCCTCATATAAACCCCAGTCTGTTTTAAAACATAATTTATTGTCATTTCAACCCCTAAATGCCATGGAAATATGTATTTTTTTTACTTAGTTTATTGTTTTTCTTTTATTCGTTTATTGTTCTCTATGCATTTTAAAAAATAAAAACCAAATTAACAATTTAGTGAAATTTTTTTTGAGGACACCCAAGATACTTTTCACGGACCCCTGGGGGTCCTGGGACCCCAGTTTGAGAACCTCTGATTTAATAAGTGATGTAAAAGCAGTCCCTCTCATATAACCCTCCTAATGCCCCGCAGATTCAGAGAACTGCCCCAACCCCTCCGCGGACTTCAGCATCCCGCTCTTCTCTTACCCCTGGGCCGCAGCATACTCCGGCRCGGAGCTCCGGCTGCTGGCTCAGCGCCACCTCCGGGACCACGGGGGGCCTCGCTCCCCCGCCGCGGAGGACGCCAGCGGGGAGCGTGTTTACGCGCAGCGGGACCTCGGGGCCGGGTGTTACCGGGACTTCTCCCACGCGGCCCGCAGACTCTGCAGGATGCGGGACGGGGAGGAGCTCCAGCAGCCGGAGATCAAGTGTGAGGAGGACCTGGACCTGGACCTGGACCTGTCCGCCCTGGAGCCGAACGGATCCTACAAGTGCATCAAGTGTTGTAAGGTACAGCAGCGGCTCTGAGGGGCTCCCTCGACCTGTGGGCGGGGTTAAAGGCTCACCTGGCTTCTGTCCGCAGGTGTTCTCCACTCCGCACGGCCTGGAGGTTCACGTGCGGCGCACGCACAGCGGCACGAGGCCGTTTGAGTGCGGGATCTGCGGGAAAACCTTTGGACACGCAGTGAGCCTGGATCAGCACCGAGCGGTCCACTCACAGGTCAGTCTGAGGCCTGAAGGCCTGAGCTGGAGCCCAGCAGAGTCCAGACAATGGTTTTACTGGTAGGGCAGACCGGGGACAGTTGCAACACGTTTTTCATCTGACTCTGTTCCTGAGAGGTTTGAATCAGACAAACCAAAATTTAATACAATAAACTTACATCTGTCTGTTAATAGTTAAAACCATTTATAGATGATTAAATCATGGACATTCTTCACTATTTGCATTTGAAAATGAAAAGTCAGATGTTGCAACTGACCCCGGGGCCGGGGACAGTTGCAACATTGTTTGGGGGTGGTTACAACATATTATTAATACAATATATTTCACTGTAAATTAAAGGTTTATTATTTTTATGTTTATATTATGGCTAAATTAATAAAAACTGTAAGTTATAATGATATTACAGTGTTATTTATTTATTCTTTTTGATCAAATGATGAATATAGATTAGCCTTYATGAGTAGACCTTATATACAGATGTCAAAAACTAATTGATATAAAATACAGTTGACTTTTAGAGACAATAATAGATCAGTTTGTGAGACAATTAACTTTAGTTTTGTCTATTGTCACTGTACGCCTACATTATGTAACATTTACATTAAACAAACTGGGATTTTAAAACCATTGTTGAAAACAACAACTGTAGAAAATACATCTTAAACACTTTGATGTTTTAAACTATAAAACTGTCATGAATACCCAACACCCTTTTAAGTGTAAACTTAATGTCAACATGTTAATCTCATCTGTATGTGCTCTGTTTGTAATAGGGCTGTGTATTGGCAAGAATTTGTCGATACGATTCATATCATGACAGAGGGGTCACGATACCATTTATCTCGATATATTGCGATACTATAAGCAAGGCGATATATTGTGATTTTTTTGTCCAAAAACTCTTGTTAAATAAAAACCTCTTACAGGGGAAAAAAACGAAAAACCAAAGTTCATTTTCCCAGAAAATTCTAATATTACACAGACATGCTTTTGATACATTTAGCTGTGTTCTGCTTTGTATGTGTTTTATTTTATTTGTTTCATATTTCTTATTTCATCCATGTTTTCAATTATTAGACTAAATTTGCCAATAAATAGTTTGAAAATATATATTTTGCAGCTTTTAGTTTTTAATATTAATTTACAATATGGTCACCCAACACTTAACAATAGCCTCTACCTCAAGAGGTAGAGGAGCCAAATGTCTGGCTCACTGCTGCCAACTAGTGGTCAGAGGCTGAACTACAACATAAAAATGAACGGCTGGCAGGAAAGTTGACATTTTAAACCTTAATAAAAAATCGATACAGGGCTTTAGAATATCGATACAGTATCAGGAAATGAAGGCTGTGTCCAAAACGACAGGCTGGGTCCTCCGGAGGACCCAGACTACCCGGTCGCGGCGGGCCGGGTCCTTGGTAGACCGGGAAGACCGGAAAAAAAAGAGTCTGTGAATTTGGACGGTCTAGCATCCCCTCCTTACCCCGGCGTACGTCATGTCACTTAGCAACTGTGACGACGCTAAACAAGCAAACTTAAATCAAAACTAGAAAAATTATCAATACATTAGCATTATTAATATCACAAAACTATAAAATTAACTTAAAGGTATCATTTGAAGAACTAATTGACCCGCTGTAGGTTCATGTTTATTTCGCGTTTTTTATGACGAAAAAGTAATATTTAAAAACATGTCCATACAAATGATAAAAGTATTAGAATTACAACCGCTAAATTTTTTAAATTTCCATATCACCATATTTTTATTTAAAATATATTTTTTTCTCTCGCTTCGTCCGCCATTACTAGCTTAAACAAATCTCCAGTCGGGCCGCAATGCATTATGGGATATGCTGGGCCGGGAAGGATCCATCAGACCTGTCCTTAGGTTCGGGCCAAAGGAAGGACGTATTTGTCGGCCGCATCGGAGGAGTCTTCGGTTTTGGACGTCCTTCGTCGCGGCGCTGTGACGTATGCGGCCGACGAATTCGGCCTTCGGAGGACCCGTCCTGTTGTTTTGGACACTGTGGAAATATCGCGATATTTCAGTGTATCGATATTTTCTTACACCCCTAGTTTTATATGGATTTATCGTATGGGGACAGTTACAACAACTGTTACAACTGTCCCCCTTCCTGTCAGCCATGATAAAACCTCATGTGTTAGCTAAATKAGCTCATCTGGATACATGTTAACTAGATTAGTTAAAAGTCAACAGATCACTTGTTTAAACCATTTAAGTTTGAGCTGGATCACAAAAACAGTGACAACAGTTTAACAAAAATAAAGCTGGACAGAAAAAAATACTTTGGTTCCTCAAAAACAGTTTTTTCAAATAAATCCTGGATCAGTTTTTGAATCTGTTTACTTTTTCTTTACAAGGTGGGACATCTAACTGAGCATGTACAGTGTGAGTGTCATCACTCTATGTTTCTGTTTGGAGAAAAATTACCTGTTGCAACCGTCCCTTGTTGCTACTGTCCCCGGTCTCCACTAAACATAATTAATTAATGAACCTCTTAGAAAATAACCCTACAGCTGACCTGAAAACACCAAAATGGTTCAAAGTCTGTTTGAAAGCTTTATATTTCTTGCAGGAGAGGAGCTTCAGCTGCAAAATCTGCGGGAAAAGCTTCAAGCGGTCCTCCACGCTCTCCACGCACCTGCTCATCCACTCAGACACCAGGCCTTACCCCTGCCAGTACTGCGGGAAGAGGTTCCACCAGAAGTCCGACATGAAGAAGCACACCTTCATCCACACAGGTCAGGAAYCAGCAGRAAAGTACCTCAAAGTGATACTTGAGTAAAAGTACAAGTATCTTATCATAAAAATACTTTGGTAAAAGTTAAAGTCTTCTCTAAAAATATTACTTCAGTAAAAGTACAAGTATCTTATCATAAAAATACTTTGGTAAAAGTTAAAGTCTTCTCTAAAAATATTACTTCAGTAAAAGTCTTAAAGTATCTGATATTTTTTGTACTTAAGTATCAAAAGTAAATTTCTGACACAAAATCTACTTGAGTATTAAAAGTAAAAGTACTGAGTAAAAGTGAGCAGTTAGATTTTACAAAATGACATTTAATGAGAGGTGACTTCTCCAAAAATATATTTTCTAACAGCGTGCAGCTGTGATGGGTTGTGTACAAGCTAATAGTGTGTCAGAATGGTATATATTTATACTTCTCATCCAAACACAATTAAATTCACTCTATAGGAGACACAGTTTATCAGGACAGGATTTTTTAAGTAATAACTCAGAATTAAACAGGAGTAACGACTTTCTACCTCTTACCTTTTTAAAAAAAAGTAGAAAGTACAGATAATTGTGTAAAAATGTAAAGAGTAAAAGTAAAAAGTACGCTGAAAAATAATTACTCAAGTAAAGTACAGATAACCAAAATTTCTACTTAAGTACAGTAACAAAGTATTTGTACTTAGTTACTTTAGAACTCTGGGAAACAGGAAGGAAGTGAGGAAACAGGTTAGAAATCAGGTGAGGAACCAATGATCACTTTGTTCATTTATAGTTTTTCTCCAGTTTTTAGTTTAATTCCAGAGTTTCTTCATAAATCAGTTAATTCATTCGACAGACTGCTGGGATTTTTGGGTTTGTGTGACTTTTAAACTTCTCAAAATAAAGAATTTTAATCACAAATGTTTTCCAGAATTTATTTTAAATATTTTTAAACATTGGTCTCTTTCAAATCTACTGACGTTTATGCTGCTTTTAAGTTTTAGCTACTGTTTTACAGCTTTTAGAGATTTTTTTGCTACTTTTAACTAATTGCTACATTTAGCTTTTAGCTACTGTTTAGCAACCTTTCTAGCTTTTAGCATATGTTTGGCACTTTTAACCAGTTATTTGCTGCTTAAAGCTTCTAGTCTGCTATATCTTTAGGCTACAGATTTGTTCATGGCTTTTAGCATCTGTTTGGCTAATTTTACATATATGTTTCTAACTTTGGCAACATTTCATTAATTTCAGCTTTTGCTACTTTTAGCCAGCCAATTGCTACTTAGAGCTAGATAGCCTTTTGCTGTTTTTAGCTAGCATTTGGCTTTTTTAGCCTCCATAGGCTACTGCTAGACTTTTTACATTTAGCTAAAAGTTTTGGCCTTTTTGTAACCTTTAGCTCATGACAAACGTTTTGCAATATTTTAGCTACAAGTTTTTTACATTTAGCCAGTCTTTTTCTATATTTAGCTTTAGGCTACAGATTTGTCACTTTTCCAAATTTTTAGCATCTGTTTGGCTAATTTTACCTCATTTTTGTAGCTTTGGCATCAGTTTGCTAATTTCAGCTTTTGCTACTTTTAGCCAGCCAATTGCTACTTAGAGCTAGATAGCCTTTTGCTGTTTTTAGCTAGCATTTGGCCTTTTTAACCACCGTATGCCACAGCTAGACTTTTTACATTTAGCTAAAGTTTTGGCTTTTTTGTAACCTTTAGGTTATGACTAACGTTTTGCAAAATTTTAGCTACAATTTTTCAACTTTTAGCTAGTCTTTTTCTATATTTAGCTTTAGGCTACACATTTGTCACTTTTCCAGATTTTTGGCATTTTCTGTTTGGCTAATTTTACCTCATTTTTGTAGCTTTGGCATCAGTTTGCTAATTTCAGCTTTTGCTACTTTTAACTAGCCATTTGCTGCTTAAAGCATCTAGCTAGTCTTTTGCTGTTTTTAGCTAGCATTTAGCCTTTTTAGCCATCTCATTGTAACATTTAGCTTTTAGCTAGACTTGTTATATTTAGCTATATTTTTGCCACTTTTGTCTGGCCTTTGGTTACTTTTAGCATCTGGATGACGTTTTGCAACATTTAGTTGCATTTTGCTACTTTTAGATTATTCTTTTGCTATCTTTATTTAGCTTTTAGTTTATATTTTGCTACTTTTTAGCTTTTAGCATATGTTTGGCTAATTTTATCTGTTTTTGGTATATGCTAATTTCACCTCTTGCTATATTTTTAGCTAACCTTTTGCTAATTTTAGTGTAAGATGCGCTTTTAGCTAGCTTCTTTTAACTTTCAGCTGCTACTGTTAGCATTGTTTTCAGCTACTTGAGAAGCTGAGCTGTCAGCGTTGCTCCAGCTGAACTTGCTGTTGTTTTTCAGGTGAGAAGCCACATAAATGTCAGGTGTGCGGGAAGGCGTTCAGTCAGAGCTCCAACCTGATCACTCACAGCAGGAAGCACACAGGCTTTAAACCCTTCGGCTGTGACCTGTGTGGGAAAGGTTTCCAGAGGAAGGTGGACCTGAGGAGACACAAGGAGACGCAGCACGGACTGAAATGAGCCGAATTCTCCTCCCGCTCACTCTGAGCTCCTCAGGTCATGGGTTGGTTTGCTGTTCTGACCTGATGTTTTCTTATTTAACTTCACATTTTTATTTATCATTTGTCTTTTCAATGTTATTATTGGTAAAAAGAGAAACCAAACATTATATTTCCAAAGCTAAATATTTTAATCAGCTGTTAATATTCAACCTGTTTTATAGTGATGGATTAAAAATGAACTTAAAGAATTTTTTGATTTCTTTAGTTTCATTGTTTCTTATTAGTTTGTGCTTCTTTAACCGGTTGTAGATCAAACTGTTTGGTTCAATCAGGTGTAGTTATTGTTTATATTTATACTTTAAATTATTTCATGTTATTTCCAAAAATGTCCCCATAGAAATCCATTTTGAGTTTTTCCATTCATTCAAAAACACCGTTTACTTCAGTACATGGGCTGTTTTTGTCACGGACTTTTAGATTTGATCTAATTCAAGCTTTTAGCTGTGCTTCTCCTACATTTAGCTTTTTAGTCTTCTAACTTTAACTTTTATTTTTCTAATTCTTAGTTTTGATTATAATTTTGCTGATCTTAGATTATAGTAACAGTTTAGCTAATTCTAGAAGGGGTTATCTGCGGAATCAAAGTGGGCGTGTCACAAGAGTGGGCGTGTCTAAAGCATAAACACTGTGGGCTACGAGGCCTACAAGACCCTTAGATCCTGCTTGACCTCTACACAGCCTGACCCTGACCCCCAACACTAAGGTTAACCAGGAGAAATGTGACCCAAGTAGGGGTCTCCAGAAAACGTGCCGTACAGTAACGCCCCTTTTGTTCTTGTCCAATCAGGTGGTGCCATACGGTGACGCCCCTTTTTTGCTTGTCCAGTCAGGTGTGTCCCTTTAACAAAGTCCGTCAAATCAGGTGTGTCGCTTTAGAATCGCCTTTCCTTGTGACACGCCCACTCGTCCGCAGAGACCCCTACTTGAGTTCTAGCAATGGTTTTGTTCAATTTAGCTTTATCTCCATCCATCAACGTCCTCTTCTTCAGGGGCAGTAGTTTGATCAGGGAGGTCCAGACCTCACTTTCCACAGCACCTCTCTCGGACTCTGAGGTGTTCACAGAACAGCAGAAACAAATCTTTCCAGCATGTCRCAGGTCTTCTCAGGGGTCTCTGCCCAGTCTGGACATGTCCAGAACACTCTGGAGGCATCCTGCTGCCTCCAGAGTGTTCTGGACATGTCTAGACTAGGCATCCTTGCAGGATGAACCACCTCAACTGGCTCCTCTTGATGGACCAGCAGCTCTTCTCTGATTCTGTCCTGGAGAACTGAACTCAGAGTCCAGCTACCCTGCAGAGAAAACTCATTTTATAACATAACAGATACAGTTATGTTGTTTTGGTCACTCCCATAGGTTCACAGGTGAGGGTAGGAACGTAGACTGACCGGTAGCTCCCTCTTCACCACGACAGACTGGTACAGAGTCTACAATACTGCAGAAACTCCATTCTTCCCTCACTAATGAAAAAAAGAAAACCCCAAATTTGAACTCCTCCATTTGAGGCAGACCTTCACCCCCAACCCAGATAGAGCAGTCCACACTTTTCTGACTGAGGACAATTGCCTCATCTCAGCTGTGAACCGCTCCATTGAGAGCTGAAGATGACACCAACAGAACCACATCATCTGCAAACAGCAGAGATGAAATCCTGAGACCACCAAGCCGCACTCCCTCTGCCCCCTGGCTGCACTGAGAAACTCTGTCCATAAAAGTTATGAACAGAATCTGTGACAACAGGCAGCCCTGGTGGGGTTCAACTCCCACCCTGAAGGGGTCTGACTTACTGCCGGCAATGAGGACCAGACTCTGACACCGCTTATAGAGACTAAATGACCCGTAACAACGGACCCACAGTTCCATACTTGCGTAGCCTAAAGAGTTTATCTGGTGGAACACGGTTAAATGCACTCCCATGAAACCTCAAGGACCCTAGTGAGGGTAAAGAGCTTGTCCAGTGTTCCACAGCAGGTTCCTAACTCACAATATTCCACCTGAATCAGGGATTTCATCGATCAGACTCTTTTCTCCAGTACCCCTGAAAAGACCTTAAATGGATCCATGATTAGTTGTAACATTAGACTTTATTTGTTAAACATTTATTTTAGCTGTAAAATAAAGACTGTAAAAATACTGTAGGCTGTTAAGTTTTAATCATTTTTAAACTAAAAGTTTAAAAATATATTTTAACACGGACGGGGCCATTTTATTTACTCACAAAGCATTCTGGGTAAATGATGAC